GGGGGAAATCGAAAGTTGGGTGATAGTTCAGGGAGCAAATCGGCAGTATACTCTTATGGAAATCGGGAATGATTCTGCGCATTAGAAGTGTACTCTCTAGAAGGTTATAGGCACTTGAGACCCACGAAGGCAAGAAAAGCTAGCACTGTTTGCTAACACGCATTATATTGGAGAATAAAAGGCCCCAAACAAACGGAGAATCATTGGCCTTTGCTTTCCTCTGTGACTGAGTGGTTCACATGCCAGTAATTATTTTTTTAAACGGACATATAAACACCAAGGCAACGTCGACAAGCACACTTTCACCACTTCACAGGTAATTAAGTACCATATATACCAAGTTTTTAGTAAACTTGATAGTGTGAGTGTTGTAAGTGGGAAGAAAAAAAATGTGATTCAATTTCAGGCATTTTTCTACCACATTTTCAAGTATAATAATATGGAATTAATCACACTAGGGGAAAAAAAAGGGTTTGCAAATGAGATATTTTTATTGATGGATCGAAGTTTTTGTTGTTTTGGTTTATAGCTTTAAATCCTACGGTCATGTTTGGATGAGAAATTTTGAAAATTCAAGGGGATGAATTTACAAATCCCTTTCACGTCTTTGCAAATGATCGTGAAATACATTTCTTAATCTCTTATATCTAACATTTTGTAGTCCATTTCTTTCTAGCTTGACTTAATTTCTTGGAACTTGAAAATTTCACATCCAAACATAGCCTATAGGGCGATATAAAACTCAATTTATAAGCCTAAAAATTCTTTTTGGCTGAATTTATATTGTGTTTCGAAGAACCCTAATTTCACTCTTAGTAAATCCTAACAAAAACTTGTTTGCTAGTTCTTTTTTGCCTAAAAATTGTGTTTCAGAGTTTGTTGTTGCATTTTTTTTTAACTTTTGGTGTTATTTAATACTGAAATATTATATAATGCATCGGGTACATGAAGCATACGTGGACACCAAGTCATACAAATCGGCAAAACTTGAGCAAAATTGGCATTAAAAGTAAACCACAAGGGTAAAGTGACAAAATGTAACCATACCAAAAAGAAATTCATTTTCGTACTCCCCTTTTCGTCTTTGGATTGAACAAGTCAAGGCAGCATAGTAGACACTGAACAGAAATAAAAAGAGGAATGCATAAAAAAAAAAAAAAAAAACTTTAACGAAAAGCTCTCGGTACTGTTCACTTTAACGAAAAACCATATTTTTACACTAAAAAGTCAATCATGGTACTATTCACTTTACCCTTTATTTTGTCCTTATCATTAAAACTCAAAGTTTTCAAACCCTTTTCATTAGTATTCCTTAAAAAAAAAAAAAGCAAAAAAATCATTATTCTTACCGTAAAGCATATATACTATTCAACCTGTCATTCTCTATCTATATGATTCATCCGGATCTTTTTTTACTAAATCCACCTAGTTCAGAATTCAGACTATTGAAATTTGATTCAACAGCTACAAATAAGGAGTTATTTTAAAAATTTGGGATTAAAATCCAACGGCCTGAATCCCGAACTAGATAGATTTGGTGGAAAATGATCAGGAGATGATCCCTTTCTTATGATCAAAGTCTAAAATATCGATGATATCGGAAATATTGGTAGTCCAAAAACACGGAAATTTCGATGGAAATATCGGGATATTATCGATATCGATAAAAATTGAATAAAAACTACGAAAATTGTAAGAAAAACTTGGAAATTTTTATTGAAATTTTGCATAATGTTTATTTAGTCAATTATCTATTAGTTAATCATAAAAAAATTGGAAGGACATAAAAAATTGGAAGGAAATGCATTGCATGATGGATTTAACTGATTTAAGTTGATTATATAACGAGCTAGCAAACATTGTGAGTGTAGAAAATATGTAGTAATTAATAAAAGAAATTTAAACACACCATAATCATTTATAATAATGAATTGGTACAATATTTTACACTTTATACATTACATGGTAAAATACATGAGTGACCTAGTACAATATAGAGTTCCTATCAATGTCTAAAATATCGATGATATCGAAAATATCGGTAGTCCAAAAACGCAAAAACTTCGATAAAAATATTAAGATAATATCAATATTTTAGACTTTAATTATGATTCAATATATGTTTACTGAATCTGCTGCAGCAACTCAAATACCCATCTCATGAGCACCAGTTACTGCCCCCTCAGTCGACAGGTGTCCCGGCAAAGCGTGCTGTTTGTGACAAGATATGGACAACAAATATCTCAAAACCATGCATGCTATGCAGTCGTAGTGATTTTTGCAAGTCTCAAAAAAGTTGCTTCAGCCCAGACAACTTGCGGAAGTTTGGGACCAAAGCCAACTATAACGCAGCACACCAACCACAACTCTGAGAGAGCCTTATCTTCCGGCACTTACAGTACGAACCATCTCCATTAATGACTTCATGCTTCACGAAAACAATCAGCCATTGGCCAACAAAACAGCTTTTCGTATCATCAGCTTAACTGAAAAGCGAAAGTGAAAAATATGAGTCAAATCAGAATTATGAGACAAGTACTATCTTTGTTAAGCATAGTTAGCGTCTGTTTAGCACGGGTCATGCTTAGGCAACTAGGGCAGGAATCTTCTCTAATGTTCAAACTAGGCACTGCAATGATTGTCCATGTTTAAGATGGTTTAGCACTGAAAGATTCTACTCTATCTCCAAGGATATGTTTTTATGTGCATGTCTAACTGACCACGTTTCTTTTTAACACCAACTATTGTTCAGTTACAACTGTATTTAAAATTGTGATATTTTAAATCATGACATGTAGATATATTTCAGATGGATGAATTCAAATATTTTATCCTACTACCGAAGATATATCTCTATGTAAGTGCTTCAGTCATCATACTTCTCATAGCACCAACTATTGTCATAATTGTACCCAAAATCATGACACTTGATATATTTTAAAATAGATTTAGCACGGAAATAATCTATCCTACCACCAAGGATATATATCTCCATGTAAGTGCCTCGATCTTTATATTTTACATAAGCATTAGCTATTGTCAAGCCATAACTGTAACCATAATCATGACATACATTAAAATGGATTTAGCACCTAAATAATCTACCCTACCACTGAGGATAATGCCTCTGTCATCACTTCTCATAAGCACCAGATATTGTCAACCCGTAACTGTAACCATAATCATGACGCTTGAATTATTTGTATGTTTATGCCATATGAACTGCCAGGACAAAGAATATATATGTATATACATAGTTGCGCCAAAAGTGGAAAGATGTGATCATGTGAATTTGCCTTTAAAATACCAATAAAGAAGCAAACTCCACCAAATTCAAAGGCAGCGGAGAGCCAACTTCAACAAGCTAGCATGGATGTAGAGAATGTCTTCCATATGACTGGAGGAGTTGGCCTTACTAGCTATGCCAGAAATTCTTCACTCCAGGTTCTCTCCCTAACTCTCTCTCTCTCTCTCTCTCTCTCTCTCTCTCTCTCTCTCTCTCTCTCTATATATATATATTCTTAATTTTGTCATTTAATTGATGTTAGAAGTGTTATATATATATGTGTGTGTTCACGATGTTTTTTCCTAATTATATTTTTCTTTCTAATTCTGATCAACAGAAGAAGGCACTGATATGTAAAAATTATTTAAGAGGCAATTACAAAAAATTACCTCACCACAACTCCAAAGAGCTTAGGCATAGCTGATTTTGGGCTGTTCAATCTGGACCCAACACCTTATCAATCATCAAGAAATCAATTCATTGAAAGTGTTTTAGAAGGTGTTGTATCACAAGATTTGTTGACCTTCCTCCAATGACTTCAAATCAATTTTCAAGGCTTTGCCACTCTTTCTCCAAGACTTAAAATAGAAAATCTCACAATAGAAAGCCCTGATAGGCATATGATTGAATGCAGATTACAATTACATTATGGAACATTCACTATAACACCATTAGTCATTGTTACCTTAAGCAACTGGCTACCCTTAGATTCAGTTTCAAAAAAAATTCAAATCAATTGTTTGCCACTTTCGAACATCGGGAAGTGATTTTGCACTCTTTTTATTCTATGGCAAAGACTCTTCTCAAATTATTCTCATCAATTCAGAAAGCAAGAGGATTGAAAAGCTAGAAACCAAAAAACATAACTGTCTTATCTTTCAAAAGAAAAGATTTCTCAATCTTTTGCACCATTCAGATGCCTTTTTATCCTCCTAGATTAAGCCCATTCCAAAGTACTGAACTCAATTCAGTGGCTTTGAAATCTTACCTGCAAAGGAATTTTAAACCTTATTCCATAGATTTTCTCTCAAAAGCCAAACTGGATTGACTAATCATCCCTCAAGCTATCTAAATTTTATTAAGGAAACTCCGGTACCCTTAGATTCATTTTTATTCAATTAATTTTTCCTCCTTAAACGAGGAAGTTCTTTCTGCACTCTTGTTTTTCTTTCAAGCCCAAGATCATGAAACAAAGAAAAAAATGAGAAACTCTGGGAAGAAATCAAGTCTTATGCTCACAGAGTTATTGTCTGTCTTAAAATGAATTCAAATGCTGTTTCACTCTTTGAATCTTTCTTCATCAAAATCTTTAGGGAATGGCTATGTTTGTTTACTTTTCATTCAAGTCTTTAAATCTCAAAGAGTTTGTTAAGCCTTTCACACCCTCATTTCATAAGGTCGCTTATTTAAAATTGTTTAAAAGAATTCAATAAAGGAGAAGTATTTGGGATCTCCTTTGAGAATTAGTTCTCTAAACGATCTAACTCTTCATTCTTTGGATAGCATACTTTAAAATGGACCACAAAACGAAAACCATGAGTCTCTTCCCAGAATTATGGGAGGTCTATTAAATAATATAATCTTTAACAGATTTCACCAAATTTTTTGAAATGCCATACAGTTGCCTTCAAAGCTTTAACAAAGAGATTAAACATAAGGAATGATTTTTCAAATTCTGCCATAAATTCCTGAAAGGCATTTTCAAGTGCTTATAATGATCAAAGGTCTTAAAATCACTTTTTTGACAATTAAGAAGGTTTGGAAAGAGGAAAATTGGAGCATGCTTGTTGGTGAAATTCAGGAAATGGGAGGGTATGTTTCAAGATTCAAAGTCTTGTCTATCCATTGGATTTTTTCCAAAGCAAAGAATTCTTTTGGATTAACTAAATTTTTATTTTAAAATTTGATGTTAAAGATGAAAAACCAAAAGAGATAAATCATAATTCAAAAGAAAATTTTAAAAAAGTTAAAATAGATAAATCGGAAATTATGGACTGGTTCATATGTTTAGATGTTTGGTTGATTTTGTGATTGCGTTTAACTATATAGCACATGTTTAGAGTTACATGAATGCGTTTAACCAGTTGAGAATACTTTTGTTTTGTTTTGTTTTTGTCAGGGAGATGTTGAAGAGGAAAGGCTTGACTCATATGATGTGCATTTCTACGCTCCATCCAGAGAAGAAATAGAAGATGAAGTGAGGAAGGAAGGTTCTTTTGAATTGGAGAGGTTTGAGATGTTTGGACTGGATCAAAGGCATGGCAAGAACAATGAGAGCTATGGAACAAGAGTTGCAATGACTGTGAGGGCTATTCAAGAATCCATGATTGGGCAGCATTTTGGAGAAGGAATCTTGGACAGTTTGTTTGAAAATTTTGGGAGATTGGTGGATGAGGAAACTGCTAAAGAAGACATTAAGCCCATCACTTTTGGGGTTGTACTTAAGAAATTATGATTGCCCAAGTAATTAATCTGATCCCACTGTGATTGTGGTTTTTAATTCTGATTTGGAATGATGAAACAATGCAAATTCTACTTCTTGCATATATGAAAATCATAGCACGCATAACAGACGAACGATTAAGTGGTTTACAAAACGAATAGATTACTCAATCAACTAAACGGAAGAAAACACTATTAAAGTATAAATTGCTGAGACGGCTATATAATTCGAATAGACTACATTGTGAGTGACTTATTCTAACTGCATAACAAAACACTCTAATTAGACAAACTCCAACTATTGAACCCAAACCCAAATATTTGGATTTAAAAAAAAAATACCAACAAAGCTTTAGACTCAAACCTACAAAATTTGGATTTGGACCCAATCAAAACTCAAATTTGGGTGACCCAATCTTGAGGGGGCCCCACATTTTTTTTTTTGACAAATATGGATGACTATAAGAGTTAGTAGTCAACAGCTGGGCCCACGTGGTAGGGCCCCAATAGTAACTATGGTCTTTCGCTTTCAAGACAATTGGTTATCAATAGCCCATATCAAACTCTCTTTTTTGGGCTATTCTTTGAAATCGATCTAATTGTTCATATTTGTTTTTGTCAAATCCAATGGTAAAAAGAAGGATCCAAGATCCAACAGCTGAAAATTGATTGGTTGGTGTTTTTATTGAAGTTTAGTTGGTTGAGTGGTTGGTTGATGTGATTTGTTCGATTTTGTAATTTTTGTTGAAATTTAAATTTTTTAGGTTAAAACATTCGTAATTAAATTAGGTAACATAACTCAAAGGTACCAAAAAAACCTTACCAAAAAAGCACAACTTAGAGTTAAAACCATTCCACAACAATTAATACATTTTAGGTCTTGAAATATAGATTTGGAGGGTTGGGTGACATTCACTATTTTTTTTTTTTTTGGAACAAACGATAATATCTATACTAAATGGGTGGGGGAGTGGGCTAAGCTTGCCATAATAATGTGGTTCAACCACATCCTTGATGATAATCGAACATAAGACCTCTCACTTATAATTGAAAATGAATACCACTAGACAGTAGTACGAAGTGGCATTGTGACATTCACTATTCACATAGCTAATTCTATCTTTTAGTGGAGCTAAATATTTGGGTATGAATCTAATAGTTGGAGTTGGTCTTATAGAGAAGTAAAAAATTAAGTCCAAATAAACAAACAAATAAAACTCTTATCTAATGAACTAGGCTCAAATAGTAAAGTCACAAAAAGCCAAACAATCAAATAAACATAAAATATGTTGTGGAATAGTGGATGTCCACTCAAAGAATTAAATAATGGGCCTTTCCATTGTCTGCTGAAGCTTGTTGGACACTACTCCTATTTTCTATATAAATACAAACCCCACACAACATCAAATGGAGAAGTTCAAGAAAGACGAAGAGAGCAAAAACAGGAAGAGGAGATGAGATAATAGAGAGAGTTATTTTTGTACTCCTATTATTCTAAATTATAATGAAAACACCACTGCTGCCCCGATGATGTACTCTAATCATACTGAATGTGGAGGAACCTCGTAAATTTCGTGTCTTGTTTCATTTATTCCATTGTACACACTGTCGATTTTACAACACATTATCAACACGATAAGCTCTCATGTCAGTGGAAAGCACAACACCATAAATTCAGTGAAGCATTACCTACCTTTCATGTAACATCCCACATCGCCCAGGGGAGTGATCCTTAAATGTATATTCTCATCCCTACCTAGCACGAGGCCTTTTAGGAGCTCACTGGATTCGGAGTTCATCGGAACTCAGAAGTTAAGCAAGTAGCGCACGAGAGCACTCCCAGGATGGATGATCCACTAGGAAGTTGCTCGTGAGTTCCCAAAAAACAAAATCTTGAGGGAATGGTAAGCCCAAAGCGGACAATATCGTGCTACAGTGGTGGAGCAGGCCCGAGATGTGGTGGACCCCGGGCCGAGATGTGACAAAATGGTATCAGAGCCAATCATTGGCCGAAAATGTGCTGACAAGGACGTCGGGCCCCTAAGAGGGGTGGATTGTAACATCCCACATCGGCCATGGGAATGATCCTTAAATGTATATTCTCATCCCTACCTAGCACGAAGCATTTTGGGAGCTCACTGGATTCGGAGTTCATCGGAACTCCAAAGTTAAGCGAGTAGCGCACGAGAGCACTCCTAGGATGGGTGACCCACTGGGAAGTTGCTCGTGAATTCCCAAAAAACAAAACTGTGAGTGAATGGTAAGCCCAAAGAGGACAATATCGTGCTACGGTGGTAGAGCGGGCCCGAGATGTGGTGGACCCCAGGCCGAGATGTGACATCTCACCTCTGCTAGCCAAAATCTCACAGAATAAAATGTACGTCCATTTTCTATATCTCCCACCGCACCTGAAGCGCCCTACCAAATTCAGGTGAGAATTGAAATTTACAACGACTTGAAGTCGTCACGAGATGAGAAAACTCGTACTTGACAACTGGTTTCCAGAGATCCAGAAAAATCTCATCAGACTTAGAAACCCAGATCGCGTCGTTTTGGACGGATCTCGAGAACTCTCATGAATACTCGGTTGTCTGAGATGGTGATGGCAAGACTGACTCCACTTAAGCCTCAATCTCTTGTGCTTCCGTCAACCTCATTGTCATCTATGTCTTTGTAGGGAGGTTCTTGCTTTGCGATGCCATGTTCTCTAGGCCATGCAAGAACAACGCCAGTCTCTGGTAGCCTTTTTGGATTGAATTGGTTTCGTGTTACCTTCATAACAACCCAGCTGGTCCTGGGTTTCGAGACTGGTAGAGACAGATAAAGAAAGAAAAAAAAGGGAAGTTTATGGAATATGCATGGCACCATTTGAAAAAGCAAGAAATAAAAAAATGGAAAAGATAGAATGATACATTTGCACCATCTGAATGAAAAATAATAATGGGGCCAAAGTTTTGGAATGATACAACATGTGAATGAATAAGAATAAAAAAAAATAAATAAAGGCTTTTGGATGGTGTTGCACCACCTGAAAAGAAAAAAGAAAAAAAAAAATATATATATATATTTATGTGAATGGTGTTAGCTTAAAACACTTTCACAAGTTCTATTTACTTTAAAGCAATTTATTTACCATGGACGGTTTTATCGTCTATTACTTTAAGTTTTGATTTATGTGAATGGTGTTGAATTAAAACCCTTGTCACAATCTTTATTTACTTAAATGCAATTTATTCACTATGGCTGGAATTATCGCATATTGCTTTAATTTATGTATTTTACTTATCTTTTATTACAATGAGTATATAACAAGGACCCGAAGTTCCTTGAACATATCAGAACCTGCAGTTCCTTGAACATATCAGAACCTGCAGTTTCTTGATCCTCATCATATAAAATGATTGGACCCGAAGTTCCATCATACAGAAAGATCAGGCATGAAGTCTCTTGATCCTGAAGATCAGGACATGAAGTTTCTTGATGAGTATTGTAAGTTTGAAGTGCCGCAGTGCCTCAACTTAATTGTAATAAAAGTCATAAGAGTCTCAGTCTACATACTATTAAATAAGGACCAAAAGTTCCTTATGTGCATACTCAAAATGGTTTAGCAGAAGCATTTATTAAGCGGATGAAATTGATTACCTGCGCTCTGCTCATGAAAACAAAATTGCTAGTTTTTACATGGGTACATGCTATTTTGCATGATGCATTATTAATTCGGTTGAGATATGTTACCAACCATCAATACTTCTCAGTACAACTCGTGTTTGGGAACCAGCCAAACATTATACATTTATGAGTTTTTTGTTGTGTTATCTATGTGTCTATTGCACTGCCACAACGTACTGAAATGAGGCATCATCGCGGATTAGGCATTGATGTTGAACACCATCTATCATTCAATATTTAGAACCCTTGAATGGGGATATGTTTACCGTGTGGTTTGTAGACTGTCATTTTGATAAGACAATTTTCGCGTCGTTATGTGGAGAAAATAACATCATTGCAAAAGAACGATGAGAAAATATCATTCCACAAGAATGATGACAAACGACCGTTCCAGAAGAACGAAGAGAATTGTCTTATTTTGATTCACGAAGCAATCAATGAGAAAATGAAGTAAGAATAATTGAATGATGCAACGATGCAACGATGTATAAATCAAATGCCAGATGCATTTAATGATGTAACGAAAGTGATGAAATCACATATATTTGCTCCAAATGTGCCTACAAGAATTGATGTCCTTGTTGGCCAAAATAATGAGGCAGCAAATGATTTCTCTGTTGCACGCCTAAAGTGTGGCAAACCCTCAGACTCAAAAAGATTCAGTCTTCCGAAAGAGGAAGAATATGGCACTCCTAAACTATTGCATTCCCGAAGCATAACTATTGCATGCCAGAAGCATGACAGTCGCCGCATGGATATACGACAATCCGCGGACATGGGAATATTGATGTCTCATGCATGAAGCATGATAGACGTATAGGTTCCAAATGACTCAACTCCCGGAAGTGAAAAATAAAATCCAAGCTCTATAACGCTCTAGAAGAGGTTATGATCCACATTCTCTAAACTATGACTATCTTGAAAGAGATAGTATAATGCCCTTGAAGAGGCAATGGATATCAAAAGAAATGAAAAGTTTTTATGCATGCGCATGCAAATGAGAATATGGGATCACGGATTAATGATAACCAATGGTAATTTTGGTTTTTATAACTAGCTACTAAATCCATCAATGAGATGTGCTGATATTGAGTCCCGTTCTTTTTCGTCAACAAAATTATTGGCCAAAATGGAGAAGGGCAATTCTATTACAATTTTGTAAGAACGTGGAAAAATAGACCTATATATTTGAATAGAATACAAATAGCCAAAAGATGTTGAACCAAGGAGGTTATATTGGACATTTGTAATACAGTGAAATACACTCACATGATATGACACAAGGTATTGAAACCTGAAATACACTCACATCATATCTCCATAAGTAAATCCCTCAATTATACA